TCCACACACTGGAGGCCCTGACACTGGGGTCCAGCAGCTGCCCAAGCATCACATCTCTGAAGCCAACTGGCTTCCAGATGATCCATGGGGATTCTTATCTGCCCACCTCCACCCTAATCCTCTTCCTTGAGGGTCACTTTATTCTATATTTCCCTCCCCCTCACTTCCAACCCACAAATTATTTCTTGTCCCTACCCAGATAGTAACTAGAACAAGTGTTCTATCTTCTCAACATCCAGGCTTAGAAATCTACCAGCTATTCATACAAATGTAAAAGCAACACCACATTAATGACTGGCATCTAACATGTGCTGAATACATAGTAGTCGTATGAACGAAATCACAGTTTGAAATCAGACTGCTGCAGAAGAAATGGCCCCTGGGGCTACTCGGGATGCTCTGTCTCTCACAGTCCATAGACATCTGATCAAACAGCCCTTTGCACCTGGACGGCTCTGCCCACAAGGCTACACCTCCCTCTTCCTCCATAGCCTCCTGAAACCTGCCCATCTTCCGGGGACACTCTGAAGGCACCTGGCTCAGAACCACTGCCATCCAAGGAGCGGGGGGTCCCAGGGCTGAGCAAATGCAGTGGGGAGGTGGGCAGCTCCCCTGCTTCCCGATCCTCATTTTCTGCTTCACTTGACTCCTCTAGGTAGGAGCTGCTCTCACTGCCCGCACTGCTGTTATAACTTCGGAAACTGTCATAGCCACCAAAGAGCTCCAAGTCGTCATCTTCCTCTTCTTCCTCCATTGGTTCTGAAGACGGAGTCTCCTGGTGAAAGGATGGCACAAAACAGGCAGAAAGAATCATGGTTGGCTTAGCGTGTGGGGAGGGAGGCTGCAGATCTGCCACCAGCTCCCTTTCCAGTTCTTGGTCAAGTCAATACTTCTGGGCAAAGTGGCAGGCAGAATCAAATACCCCTTTTGCAAACACCAGGATCATTTCTCGTTTATACATTTCTCAACTGCAACTCAACAGAATAGCTTAACAAGACAGAAAACATGTATTAGGAATTCACTAAGCTCCTTCTGCAAATTTATAAATTATATCTTAACATGATTCAAACAGAATACAATGATATGAAAATATCCTAAGGAGCCTCTTGAAGATTTTCTGGGAAAGATGTTTATTAGAAAGTCATTCTTCGTCCTTCAGCATTTATACACCAAAATAATTTCAATTCAAAAACAATTTAAGTCATAGAAAAGTTCATTTGGGACCCAGACTGCCCTAAGGAGGATTTGGGAGGCAAAAGACACAACAGTTACAGCATAGCAGTATGTACCATAGCTTTCGACTTAGCTCTGATCCTAACTAGCAGTGAGTCCTTGGACAAGTCATTTAACCTCTCTGGGCCTCAATTTTTTCATCTATCAGATAAGAAAAATATTTGGCTCACAGCATGTGAAATGTAAATGAGATGCTGTATATGGCTCTAACTGGCATGTAGGAGAAAAGGCGTGAAGAGTTTGGGTTCTAGCCCAGGGCTCAAATACCATCTCTACTGCTTATGATCTGCAGCAAGTCCATCCCTCGGTGCCTCAGTTTCTGCATCTGTAAATGAGGATAATACCACCTATTTCACAGGCTTTGGGGGATAAGTAAGGGTTAATACAGGTAAACCACTCAAAACAGTGGCCTGCACGTAGTAAGTGTGGAGTAAATGTTGGCAATTATTCCTGGTTAAAAGCCTAGGCTTTCAGACCAGATTTGCCTGGGTTTGACTCCTGTCTCTACAACTTATTAACTGTGTGATTTTATGCAAGATATTTAACCTTGCTACTCGGTTTCCTCACCAGTACAAAGGAGATAATAACAAGGCTTCCTTAGAGGATTATGAAGACTGAGATAAGATGTGTAAAGCCTGGTTCTGTTTCCAGCAGTTAGGGACAGCTCTAAACCTGTGAGCTATTATTCTTATTCACTACTTTATTATTATTCTCCTTTACCCCTGTACAATTTTTGAGCAATTCCACTTTATATTTACAACTACACATGCAAATGTGCTGGAGAGGAAACCGAATTCAAATATAAGGTGACCAGAGGCCAAATCACGACAGGGTGAGTGGCTCACAGGTTGCAGCAGAGTGAGAAAAGCATATCAGCTGGAGTTTGGGAACCTGACGCTCTATCAGCTGCGTGACCTTCCTGGGAGACGCACCACCTTTCTAAGCCTCGGCCACTTTAACCATAAAAACGAAACACTAACAGGACTGTTGTGAGTTTACTGGGAGACGACGCACGTGAACGCTCCAGCCGGACTGTTTATTAAACTTTAATCTCCCTTCACTTCCCACGGGGATGTGACAGGCCTCACCATCTCTAAAGAACACGACCACGAGGCGGCTCTCATCCTCAACCCAGTTCCCCTTCCCCCAGGCCAGGGAGGCTGTTCTCCCTTAACTCCTCGCCCGACGTCACCCCGGCAGCACGGGAGCAACAGGCAACACCAACCGCCTCTGGCCCTGCTCACGCTAACTACCTCCGTTTATCCATCCTTCCACCCTCCGCCCTCCACGCGTCGCCAAAAGGCCTAACGGGTCCACGAGCAAGGCTCTGGGGGTTCCTCTTCTCAGTCACGGTAAGTCCGCTCCCTCTCACCTCGACACCCCTGGGCTTCTCCATGAGACCGAACACAGTGTCTTCAACCGTCACCAGGTGCAGGAAGCCATATTGGCCTCGCCGCTCTTCCTGAGCGCACTCATTGGCCTTCTCCCAGAGGCACGGACCAATCACGGTGCAGGAAAGAGGAAAAGCCGGTTCCGCGCTCGCCCGCGCCCCTTCTCCCCTGGGGGGGGGGGGGGGGCAGGAGAGCCGCGGGCGCTTGTGGGACTTGTAGTTCCCGTGTGGGTGGGCATGGAGCGGAGCGTTGCTATAGCGACACGAAAATCCCGGCGCTAGGGCTGGCCACGTCTCTCGCGGAAGGTTCTCCTACCTTTACGCCAACGTTTTCCCTTCGTGCCGACCCTATCCTTCATTAAACAATTATTGAGCACCTACGATGGTCAGGTACTGCTTCCAGGTTCCAGCAATAACCTCGTATTCTCCGTGATTAGAAATTTAAGGTGCCCTTGGGCCGGAATGCCTAGCAGAGAGACTTATTTCCGATTCAGGCCCACGGGAATACTCTTATGCCGGATGCTGTAAATGTCCCGCAAGCTCAAAATCCTGCAGCACTCTCCATCACCATCTCCTGAATAAAACCTCGAATATGAGCCTCTCCACCTCAGCTCGTTTGGATTTCCCACAGCTTTCTTACGTGCTCCGAGTTCTAGGTGGTCTTGTAGAGCTTTGCAAACATCTCGAATCCGTAGACATCCAATCATGGTTTTAAAGATGAGGAAACAGTGGCTCTGCGGAACTAGACACTTTCCAAGATTACGCAGGATTGGAATTTAAGATTTAATCCAAATTCTTTTCCTATGCTATGCCGTGCTCCAATAAATTAAGAAATTAAATGAAGGGGCTGGCCTGGTGGCACAGCGGTTAAGTTCCCACGCTTTGCTTTAGTGGCCCAGCATTCGCTGATCCCAGGCACAGACAGACGCACCGCTTGGCAAGCCATGCTGTGGCAGGTGTCCCACATAAAATAGAGGAAGATGGGCATGGATGTTAGCTCAGGACTAGTCTTCCTCAGCAAAAAGAGAGGAGGATTGGAAGCAGATGTTAGTTCAGGGCTAATCTTGCTCAAAAAAAAGGAAAAAAAAATGTAGTAAGTGGAGGCTGAATATATATTAAATATATTTCTAAATTTGAGGTTCACCACATACATGTGAAAGTCCTCCTTAATTTTTTTCTTTCCTTAAATCCCTTCTATCCCCAACCCCATATCCACCTTATCAACAAGTACCGTTGGTTCTTCTACCTCCAAAATATATTCTGTATCCCTCCACCACTACCACCCTAATACAAGCTACTGGTCCACTGCAACAGCCCTCCAACTGGTCTCCCTGTTTGGATCATCACCTTCTTTAATCCACACAGGTGATCTTTTAAAATCATAAACCAAGTCATATTCATTCTCTTGCTTAAAACCCTTAATAGCTTCCCCTTGCACTTTGAATAAAATCCAAACACTCCATAAGACCCTGAATGACCTAACCCTGGCTTTCTCTACAACCTCTTCTTGTACCATCCTCACCACCTTTCCCTACATCCGTCCACTCTCCTCCTTCCTGTTCTTGACTGCCAAGCTTGAATTGGCCTCAGGGCCTTTGCACTTGCTGTTCAATTTGTGTGGGACATCCTTCCTGTGACTCTTCTCATGGATGGCCCTTCATTTTTCAGATTTCAGCTCAAAGTCACCTCCTCACGGACCTTATTTAAAGTAGTTGCTCCCTTTACTTACTCTGTATGCCTTTACCATTTGATAGTCTTTCATAGCACTTGTTTCTGTCTGAAATTATCTTGTTCATTTGTTTCCTTCTTTACTGCCTATCTCCCACACTGGAGTGTCAACCCCATGAGGGCAGGGCTTTAGCCTTTCTTGTTTTCTGCTGCACTTCCAGAGCCAAGAACGGAACCTAGCATACACTAGGTGCTCAGGGCTCAAAGAGCTAGACAATAAGACTTCAAGGACTGCAGCAGGCTGTTCTCGAAGGCAGAGCAGTGGATTGGGTAGCTTGCTAGTCTGACCCTTATGAACAGTTTTGTTTTACCATTAACAGGATTCCAGGCCCGGTTCCTCCGCGAGGAGAGCTAGGCTTTCTTTCTCTGCGCCCTACCTTCTGCATCAAGTAAACTGGCTTACATCTCCTTCCACTTGAAAAATTCCATGATTTCAAGGTGCAATAAACAATTCAAGATTCAACATCAAGAATGATGAGCAGATGGAGTCCAGGTTTTAATTTGTAAAATGGGAATAATAGGGCCACCTCACTGGGTTGTGCAGTGCCTGCCACGCACTGGGCACAGTAAGTGGTAGTTATTACGATCCTATTAGACACTAGAGTGGCAGCACCCAGAAGAGTAAATGAGCTGGGAAGAATAACCTTCATGAGTTGCTTGATCTTTTATTAATTTTTATAAAAGTGGAACCATGAATCTCACAGGCAGAGAATCTGCTCATGGCAAAGCATTTTATTCATCAAATATTTATTTAATGGCTACTGTGCCAGGCACCGTGCTGGATTCGGAGGAAACAGGTGAACAGCTCTGTCCTCATGGAGTTTACCGCCTCCTGCAGGGAGACAGTGAAAACTTAAACATCTAGTTCCAAGCGAAAAGGAACTTGGCCGCGTGCCTGATGGGGAACAGGGAAGGGAGCTCCCAGGAGGGGGTGTCAGGGGAGGCCTGCTACACAGAAAACAAACATCCTTGACTTGGAGCCAGTGAGGAGAAGAGGATTGCTGAGGGAAGGGCATTCCAGGCCGAGACACAGAATTCAGGGAAGGAGGTGAATAACTCCAGCTGGCAGGAGAAAATAATGGGAAACCCTTCGAAGGTTTTTTTTTTTTTTAAAGATTGGCCCTGAGCTAACAAGTGTTGCCAATCTTCTTTTTTCTCTCTCTCTTCTTCTCCCCAAAGCCCCCCAGTACATAGTTGTATATTCTAGTTGCAGGTCCTTCTGGTTGTGGCATGTGGGACACCGCCTCTACACGGCTTGATGAGCGGCGCCATGTCCGCACCCAGGATCTGAACCGGCGAAACCCTGGGCGACCGAAGCAGAGCGCGCGAACCCAACCACTTGGCCATGGGGCCAGCCTCCCTTTGAAGGTTTTAAACAAGGGAATGAATTGATTTGATTAGGTTTTAAAAGCTCCCTCTCTAGCTGGAGGTGGGTCAAGAGAAGCACTAAGACCACCAGTTAGAAGGCTCCAGGCGAAAGATGATGGTGGTTCGGACCAGGGCAGACTCAGAAGGCATGCAGAAAAGGAGAACTTGAGAAATGTGTTGGAGGCAGTAATTAATTGTATGGAGTGTGTAGAGGGAGGAATCCAGAATGACTCTGGGGAGACATGTCAGATGGGTAGACGGTGGGACCGTGTTCTGCAATGCTTAAACGCTGTAAGAGGAATGAGTGAGTTTGGGTGGTTGAATAGAGGGAATTAGGAGTTCTGCTTAGTCTGAGATGCCTGTGGGCAAGAGGGCAAGAAGGCAGTTGGAGGTCATCAGAGAGCCCTCAACTGGAGATCTAAATCCTGCAATTTTTGGCATCCTTCCCTAAAATTGAATGAGTCCCTAAATCCATCTTCTCTGTGATGTATTATTTTTCACGTATCAATGCATATATTATTAACAGTATAAGAAAGTAAAAACCTGAGCTTTCCAGTTTCGTAGCATTTCAACAAGAGTCAGAGGTACCAGACTTTGGGGGAGGGAAAGAAGCAGAGTGGGGACCCCAGTGACAGGAACTGTTAGCGTAAGTTGAAATGGCCGTTAATTAGGAATTCAGTTGAAACATCCTATTAAACACAGGTTGCTAAGCAACAGTGACCCTCGGCAACAGCGTGGCCATTCCTTCTGCTGCGGAGCTTCTGGGCCTGAGTCTCATGCTGCAGTAAAGGTACCCTTTGTGGCTGGTCTGAGCCACACCTCTACACACGGATCGCAGGTACTCCTCTCTTTTCAGGGCCTACCCTCCATGAGTCTCTGTTCCTCCCTCTGGGATCACTGATTTCTTGCTCGCTATTGCATCATTCCCAATAACAACCTGAATGGGCTCTTGTGTCACCCATACTATACGAATAAATCCCCTGAGCCCACATCCTCTGTCCCCTGCCATTGTACTATTCCAACCCCTAATCTCTTGAAAGACTTGTCTGCACACACTGCCTCCACTTCTGCTTCTCCTCACTTCTCCGTCTGGTCTCACGCTCCACCCAAACTGCTTTGTCGAGTTCACGTACAGTTTCTCTGATGTACAGCCGTGGCTCTCTTCTCTCAGTGGCATTTGACATAACTGATGACTCCATCCTTCCTGAAACACTGTCTTTTCTTGGGTCCCTTTTGGTTTTCCTCCTGTCTCTCTGGCCAATCCTCTCTCCTCTGCAGGGCCTTGCCCTTCTACCTGAACTCTAAATATTGGCATTTTCTGGGGATCTGTCCTGGGCCTGCTTTTTTTTTCTCTACTTCTCACCGTAAGTGATGTCTTTTATTCTTAGCGCTGTAAATACCATTTATATGCCCCAAATTCACATCTCTGAGCTCCAAATTCATATACCCATCTTGACAACTTGATATTGCATCATAAACCAAAACAGAGCACTTTATTCCCTTACCCCAACCCTATTTCTCTTCTGGTTTTCCTCATTTCAGTACACAGCACTACCAACCACCCAGGAGCTTCCTCTTGATTCCTCCCTCTCCATCCCTCACTTTCAATCTATCAGCAAATCCCTTTAATTCTCCAAAACCTACCTCAAATATTTCCACTTCTTTCTGTCCCTACTGCCACCACTTGAATCCAGACCAACATCACCCCTCCTCCCGATTCCCACTGAAGCCTCCTAGCTGGTCTCCTCTCTTACCCAGCACTTAAAGCGGATCGAGTAACTCCCCTGCATCGGTGATTTGCAGGCTGGGTGCTCTCTTCTGTATCATATCACTCCCTTCTGTCTGGCCTTCCCCCAGTTATTCTCTAAGACCTTTGGGGAGCGGCCAGGGTGACTCGAGTTGAGGTGAGAGAGTTACAGAAGGGCCGGAGTAAGAGTTACTCATTCAAGTAATTTACTGCGTGCCCACTGCCAGTGCTCTGGGCACTGTGGATACAACAGTGAACGAGGGGGGCCGGGGGGGCGGGTAAGGGGGAGGAGGGGACGACGACACAGGCAGAGTTCCTGCCCTCGTAGAGCTTCCGTTCCAACAGGATCCAAAGGAAAGGAGACCAACGCTTCCGGGCGCCGACAACGAGCTGGCGCGGTGCTAACCGCTTTGACACCCGGCCTGCCCCTGTGACTCTGGGCAGGCCTCAGTGCGCCTCATCTGCAAAATGAGATCACAATGGGTAGCTCCTGACCCTGGCGCTCCCGTGGTAGGGGGCGGGGGTGCAGGCTGAGGAGAGAGGCGGTCGCACCACCTGCCCCGCCCCCGCCCCATCCCATCCCATCCCCGCCCACTCCGGGCCCGGGGCGGGGGGCAGGGCCCAGAGGTCAGGTGGCCGGGCGGCGCGCGCCGGTTCCGAGCGCCAACTGCCGGCCCCCCCCCCCCGCCCCGCCCCGCCCCGCCCCCGGCCCCGCGCCCCCCCTGCCCGGGCTGGAAGGCTGCGGCCCCTGCCGGTGCGAGCCCGGCCCGAGTGGCGGGAACGCGGCGCGGGCTCGCCGGCACTGCTAGACGGCGAGGTCCAGCCTGGGTGGGTCAGCGACCGCCGTGCAGGGAGGGAGGCGCTGGGCGCAGAGCGGGCAGCGAGACTGGAGAACTGTGGAGCTGGGACGCCCCGCCGGGGTTGCGCCCAGTCGGGGAGGGGCATGGCGAGACCTGCCCCCCAGCTTTGTCTTAGTTACTCTGAGGCAAGGGGCTGCGCTGGGCCGGAGCAACTATACAGTGCCTGGCCCCGCCGACCCTCAAAGTGTCCCGGCTATATTGCAACCGCGGCGCAGGGAGAACACAGGAAAGGAGTGGTCACTGTGCCGACAAAGGGTAACTGCCATTATTAAGCACCCAGGCTGGCCAGGCGCCGTCACCACCCCTTCTGTCCCGCGGTGGCAGCCCAGGCACACAGGGCACAGGCATGTGTCCTAGGATTGTGGAAGAGGCAGCGCTGGGATACGAACCTGGGACATGGGGCTCTTGGCCCCCTGCGACAGGCTGAGGAAGACTTGTGCTTGAACCAGGCTTTGAAAATTGGGGAGGGTTTGATGGGTGCAGGTAACGGAGCAAGCTCTGCCCTCATGGCCGTGAGACCTCGGGAAGACGTTTGATCTTGGTGGGCCGCACTTTCCTCCTCCGTAAAAGTGGCCGCACTTAGGAAAACGAGTAACTAATATGTAAGTAGTGCTTTGCAATGTGTAAAGCACTTTGAATTGCGTTGTCATAGATGAAGCCTCACAATTAACACACCAAGTAAGCGTTTTTATTAGCCCCCTTTACAGATGAAGAAACTGTGTCGTAGACAGGTTAATTAGATCAGGGAGTAGCGACAGAGGGTTACTACTGAATAAATCCAAGGTTTTTCAGGATAACTGCCTTAGATGAGCACAAAGCTTGGAAGCTGACACATCCTGTGACCTCATCATCCGAGCTCCTGGCTACTGGTTTAAAATACTGGTCTTGCTGGGCCTCCCCAACTACCAACCACTGTATCCCAGCAACCCAGATCAACATGACACAGCAGTTTTAATTATTATTATTTTTTTAATGTTTCTTACTGGTTTGGGCTGGACCAACTATGAGGAGTCCTTGGGCAAATCAAAACTGAGAGGGGGTCGGATGGGGGGCAGGGTTGATTGAGTTCTGAAACTTCCAACTGGTTGTTTTGGATTTTCTAAGTAATAATTATTTTGAGGGCATTGGTGGTAAATAATAATTTTTGTCCTTCCTATTGACAGGTCCACCTCCTAGCAAATTATTGGAAGGAACATGAGAAACGTAAGTAGGGATTTTGAAGTATCCGGTAAAGGAAGCAAACTTATTTATAGAATAATGGCAATTTGGTGATACCGTTCCTGGATGTATAAAATTAATTGACAGGTGCTTATCAAATACCAGTTTTTGAGGAGTGTATTTACTAATACATGCGGAGAGGTCTACACAGGTGGCAGTCCGTTACCACAAATACTGACAAGTACACTGAGAGATGCGGTTTTCTTTTCAGTCCCCACAGGCCTGTGAAAGGGAAGAGGGGCCAAGTGTTTCCTAGTGGCTGTCATATGTGCCAGGTGTTTTCTGGGCTGTGTTTCCACCTATCCTGTAAGCTCCTTTATCCTCACAACAGACTTAAGGGGCAGGAGGAGTTCTTATCCTTTTTAGAAATGAGACTGAAGCTTAGGAAAGTTAAGTAAACCAACCCTGTCGATGCCGAAAAAACTTTTCCGAAACCACAGTTCTCACATTTTTGATCCAGGTTCAGAGTCAACAAATATGTAATGAAGTTTTGCCAGGTGCTTTTGAGTATTTTATTCACTTCTCGTGATAACTCACCATACCTTTTGCTCATTTCAGCTGATCACCTTGAAATCAATTAGCAAGCCTTTGAAAACAAGTAGCCCCCTCCCTCATACCGGACAGGAGATAAGCATTTGTAAATCCATGGTAATGTTACAGCCGCCCTTTTTAAATATGGCGTGGTTCTGTGGGGATACTAACAGCAGCAATTCCGTTAGTACAATCCTGACATCTCAGAAGCAGTGGCGCTAAACAAAAATGTGGGCCTTATGTAAGAAATTGAATTGCAAGAGCATTTTCTTCTACTGATGACAGTCGAATCTGAAAATGCTACAGTTTTCCTGTGATAAATGCACACAATGTTGATTAATGGGACTAACCATCCATCTGATACTTGGACCAATTAGGTGCTACTTATGAAAAAACATCCAATGGAAATTCCAACGTCGCCAGCAAGAAAGGTGACTTGTAGATTCTTAAAAGGATATTGAGGGAAAGAGTGACAGAGGCAGCCTTCAGTCCTAACCCTCCTCCCACTGACCTCCACGACTCTGAGTGACTTTTTAAAAAATATAAATCTGCTCAGGTCATTTTTTTTGCTGCCTTTAGTGGAAAGGCACATTGGACAGTCAGGAGGCAGATCAGTGGTTGCCTGGGGTGGAGGTGGGAACAGGCATTGACTGCAAACAGACAGGAGGGATCTTTTTGGGGTGATTGAAATCTTAAACTGGATTGTGGTGATGGTTATACAACTCTGTAAATTTACTAAAAATCATTGAATTGTACGCATGGAAGAGATGAATTTTATGGCATGTAAATTATACCTCAGTCAAACTGTTAAAAAATAAGCAAAACCCCTTCTGGTCCCCGTCTCTTACCCAGTCAAGGCCCTGCACGCTCAGCAGGTGCCCACCCTCCAGCCTCTCCCAGCATGCCCAGCATGTTCCCTGCGTGTGAACTGTCCAGAGCTGGTTGCAGGACTTTCAATAAAGCCCCGGTCTTGGTCATCTCAGTGCCTTTGCACATGCTGCTTCTCTGCCCGGGCTCTCCTTCCTGCCCTTGTCTGCCTGGGGGACACTTGCTTTCTTCCTTCAGGACTCAGCTTGAGCATCTCCTCTGCCAGGAAGCTTTCCCTGACTTGTCCAAGCAAAACCAACTGACATTGTTATTGTTTGTAATGTGCACATCTGGTACCCTCACCAACCTGTGAGCCCTCTAACTGTGACCTCTTCATGTGTAGAACCCAACAGGTCTGATGCGTAGAATGGTTGTTGAGTTAATGCCTGTGTTGTCAAGGTCACCCTTCAGAGCGTACCATATACACATACACGGGTGGGGAGTGACCCATTCGTCCATTCACTCACGAACATTTCATGCCAAAGTACTGAAAAGTGGGTTCAAAAATGATTAAGGTGAGATGCTAGTCCTCAAGGAGCTGTGCATCGAGTGCAGGAGAAAGTGGTGTTAGATCCTGGTCCTGCTCTGTCTAAACCATGTGTCTCTGCAGGTTACTTAATCTTATGTAAAATGGGGATGGTAGTCTTAGCCACCTCATATATATGAGAGGATTAGATGGGTTTTTATAGGTAAAGTGCTTCCAGCAGGGCCTGGCACAGAGTGTGCTCTGCAAGTGTGTGTTAGTACTGCAGTGCATGGTGAGTGATGGGGCAAAGGATCCGGGGAAAGATTCCTGAAGAAGGTATCATGAGCTGGGTTGTGAAGCATGAATGGAAGTTACTTTTTTCTGTTTACCCTGATGCATGTGGAGTGCAGTGTCAGCTACGTTGCAAAAAAAGACTGTCAGCGTTATTGTCGACGGGGAGAGGTGTGAGGACAGGCCCATCAGGCAAAGATGGAGGAACGGCACCTTGTGGGAGGCGTTCACTTTTATGGTTTGCCCCAGCCTCAGTTTCCTAAGAAATCCTGTTGAAAAGAGTGGTGAAACCGGAGGCTTATGTGCTGAATTCAGCCCGCAGAAGTGTTTTGTTTGGCCTGGACTGTGGTTATAAAAGTTTTTGAAGTAGTATTTAAAATTTTACAAAAATAATCTGGATTTCCAGCTTCTCTCTTAAAACAGAGTTAGAAGATGCGCTGATACCGGATTTCTGTGCCTACGTGGTGGGCAGCATTCGGCTGGAGCTGCCAGCTCTGTTTCCTCTAGAAGGCGTCGTCCTCTTCAGTTTGCTGGTCCTCACTGTTTACAGGATTCAGGCGTCTGTACTCACATCTGGCCGCTGAGAGCAGGTGAGTGTGTGACTGCTGATTTGTTGTCTTCATGATGCTCATCCCAGAGCAGACCTGTCACCCTGGACCCCTGTCTCCTTACTTGTGGTTTAGAATGGACAATCTAGGGCAAAGGGGTCCTAAGAAACTGTTCTTCTCCCAGTGTAAGCCCCCTACCTGCCCGAGGCCATGCCTGTTCTTTTTCTTTTTTGGGGGGAAGATTAGCACTGAGCTAACTACTGCCAATCCTCCTCTTTTTGCTGAGGAAGACTGGCCCTGAGCTAACATCCATGCCCATCTTCCTCTACTTTATATGTGGGACGCCTACCACAGCATGGCTTTTGCCAAGTGGTGCCATGTCCGCACCCGGGATCCGAACCGGTGAACCCCGGGCCGCTAAGAAGGGGAACGGACGAACTTAACCGCTGCGCCACGGGGCTGGCCCCATGCGTGTTCTTAAACATCACCCCTCTCTTCAAGGTCTAGGAGCATGTGAAAAACACTGGATATGGATTAGGAGACCTGGATCTGTTTTTAATTTTTATGATTAAATTTGCTGTATCTTTATATTTCTGATTTTCAAACAGTACATAAAAATATGTAAAATGGAAATTTAGATTCCCTCAAAATGTATCCCCCCACACTCTGTACTCACCATTAACAGTCTGCTCTATACTTTTTGCACTTTTTAAAAACTGCCGTTTCCTGAGTGCTTGATATATGCCAGGCACTTGGCTGAGCGCATTACATAAATTCTCTCTTTTGATCCTTGCAACAACCCTATGAGGTTATTATCATTCCCATTTTACAGATGGAGAAACTGAGTCTTAAGTAATGTGTTCAAGGTCACACAGTGAGTATGAAGTGGAGCCAGTGTTCCAAGAGTTTTCTTTCTGACTCCAAAGCCCTTTCTCCTAACTATCTCAGGGTAAAGCCTTCCTGAGAAGACGGCCGGTTAGGAACTAAACATACTCCCCTGAAGAAGTGTATTTGTTAAGGTCTCCTCCTTACGCCTATTCCCCATTCATTCATGAAATGCTTCCTGAGCGGCTGCTGTGCGGGGGGGTTTCGGGAACCTACAGGAGGGATCAAAGTACTCCCCCTCCGGGAATTCACGGGGGCAGATTACAGAGAGTTTTGGAGTGATCAGTGAAGTACGGGAATTATGTGCAATGCACAATGATGATAGAAAGGAGGGAGCAGTTCTGGCCGGGCGGAGGGGAAGGGAGGCGTCAGGATAAGCGATATTTAAGCTGTGTCGTGGTAGATGAGTAATTGTTTAATGGGTACACAAAGGGAAAGGATAGTTCAGCAGAAGAAACGGGGTAGGGAAAAGCATGGTAAGTTGGAACAGTAGTTTATTCAGGGAACTGAAATCATTTGTTATGGCCAGAGGCTAGGATGTGAAAAGGGGCTGGCTAGGTCGGCGGACGGGGTCCTGAGTAAGAGGGGCGTGGAGGTTGTTCTGAGACATTTGGGTTTTAATCTGTAGGCAGTGGGAGCCGTCTGCAGTGTTTATGAAAGGGGAGTGACGTGATTGGTTTCTATGTTAGGGAGAGTCCCACAGCAGAGTGGAGAATGGAGTAGAGCAGGTGGAACTGGGGGCGGGGAAGCCAGGAAAGGAACCGTTGCAGTTTGCTCATTGGAATGGATGTGGAAATGTCCAGTAACTGAAAAAAATGATAACAGCTGCCATTCATTGAGCCCCCCGGGTGTGGCCAGATTCTGTGTGAAGTGCTCTGCGTGCATTATCTTATTACCTTTACAACTACCCTTTGAGCCAAGTGCTGTTATCTCCATTTTACAGGGAAGGAAGCTGTGAAGATGACTTATATTAGGTATACCGTGACTAAGTGATGGAGCCAGAATTCAAATCAGTGTCTGTCTGAATCTAGAGCCCTAAGTCTACAGATCTAAATCTAAATCTGTGCTGCAAATTTACCCACCTGTGCCTAGTACTAGGCAGGGTATCCAGATCTTTGTACAGCATCTAGTTCTCCATCTAAGACGTCTTGAATCTGTCTTCTTACCTCTGTCTCCTACCACCCAGATGAAGTCACCGTGACTTCTTGCCCACAGGCCTACAGGACACCCCAAGTTTCCCTGCGTCCTCTCCTGCCACCCTGAAACCTGTTCTTCACACAACAGCCTGACTCATCTCTTAAAATGTAAGTCAAACCATGCCATCCTCGTCCTTAAAACACTCCCTTTGCTCCTCATTGCTCTTAAAATCTAATTCCTTACTCTGACCTATAGGGGCCCGTGTGATCTGTCAGCTGCCTGCCTCACCAACTTCATTTTGCGTCATTTTCTCCCTCTCTCATTGAATTCCAGCCCTACTGCCCTTCTTTTTTTTTTGAGGAAGATCAGCCTTCAGCTAACCACTGCCAATCCTCCTCTTTTTGCTGAGGAAGACTGGCCTTGAGCTAACATCCATGCCCATCTTCCTCTACTTTATATGTGGGACGCCTACCACAGCATAGCTTTTGCCAAGCAGTGCCATGTCCACACCTGGGATCCGAACCCGTGAACCCCAGGCCGCTGAGAAGCGGAACATGCAAACTTAACCACCGCGCCACCGGTCCGTACTGCCCTTCTTTCTGTCACTGGAACATGTTAAGCTTGTTCTTGCCTTGGGGAATTTGCATTTGTTGTTTCTTTCTAGAATGTTCTTTTCTTAGATAATCTCATGTTTGGCTCCTTCTTGCCATTTAGGTCTCTGTTTAAATGCCGTCTCCTCAGAGAGGCCTTCCCTGAGCCCTCAGTCTAAAGTAGTTCATGAAGCTCTCTATCATATCACCCTTTTAATTTTCTTCATTGAACTCATCAAAATATACTATTCAGTGTTTGCTTCTTTTCTGCCTCCTTCTGGTAGAATGAAAGCTCCCTGAATTGTAATAGCTAAAACTTATAGACTCTTCTCTTTGTTAGGCACTATTCTAAGTGCTTCAATATATTCACTTATTTAATCTTTATAAAATTCTAGGAGGTGGATACATTTTACTGATGAGGAAACTGAGTCTCAGGGAGGTTAAGTAACTTGCCCAAAGTCACACAACTCTATGTGGCACAGCTGGGATTTGAACCCAGGCAGCCTGGCTCCAGCATCCACACTCTAAATCAAGTGAAAGCAGGGGCCTTATCTTTCCAACCTCTGTATCCCACCACCCTGGACGTGGCATGGCACTTAGCAGGCTCTCCATAAAAATTGTGAAATGCAAGATGAGAGTCACAGTAGAGATAGAACTACCTTCTGAACAAAAACCTAGGAATTATCCTTGATTCTGCTCGCTCCCACTCACAGATCCATCTGCAAGTTCTGAACTATTTCTCACCACAAAACGTATCCCAATATGTCCACTTTTCTGCATTCCCACTGCTACCGTCCTCGTCCAGTTCACGAATGGCTTTCTCCTAGATGACCGCCAACAACCTCCCAACTGGATACCTAAATCTGAGGGTAACTCTTCTAACTGGTGATTGACATCTGCCGAAGCAAAGAATCAGGTGTGTTATTAAGGCAGAAATGTTTATTTATGCTGAATGAAAATTTGCCAGCTGACTTATACCTTAGCAATATGTCCATTTATCTCCATTTCTGGTTTGAGTAGGGTCAGACTCATGGAATGTTTGAGACCCTAGATCTGTGGTTTTCCAACCGTGTGTTGAGGTGCTCTCAGACATGGCAGGGAGCTCACAGGGGTGCTAAGGGGTGTTTTAAAATCTTAGGGGAAACCTAATGTGTTAGTTGCTAGGCTGCCATAACAAAATGCCACAGACTGAGTGGCCTAACCACAGATATTTATTTTCTCACAGTTCTGGAGGCTAGAAGTCCAAGATCAAGGTGTTGGCAGGTTTCAAGTCTTCTGAGGCCTCTCTCTTTGGCTTGCAGATGACGCTGTGTCCTCACATAGCCTTTCCTCTGTGTGCACACGTATTTGTGTCTTAATCACTTCTTATAAGGACACCGGTCATATTGGATCAGGGCCCACCCATATGACTCATTTTACCTTAATTACCTCTCTCATGGCCCTGTCTCCAAATACAATCACAGTCTGAGTACTAGGTTTGGGATTTCAATACATGACTTTGGAGGGGGCAGGTGGGGGGGCGACATCTGTCTGATACTGCACAAACTGCCAGCTTGAGCTATTTCAACATTAGTTCCCACTAAATTCCTTTTGACAATCGTCATATCTTTGCAAAGCTGAGGTTTTGAAGGTTGTGATAAAAAGTAAGTACTGTGTGTAAATCAATGTGGAACAGGAAATGAGAGGGGTGGTGCCCCGTCTGGTTCCAAGCTTTGGGAAGGTGTGCGGTGCCCAAAAGGCATTAAGTTGTTAGGACATAAACACTTAATGAATTCGTTTGGGCTTTCTACTTAATGAACAGAACTGTGAGGTATTTCTTGTAGGCCTAGGGCATCATGAACAATTACTGAAACCCTAAAGGCAACGTGAATGGAGAAAATTTGGGAACCTTTACTCCAAATAAGGAAGTGGATCCCGGAGATCAGGAACACCAGGGGAAGTTTTTAATTATACAGATTTCTGCAGGTCCCACCCAAGACCTATGGAGAAAATATTGGGGACTTGAGTACAAGAACCTGGGTCAGTTTGGGAATCCACTGGTCTAGCCTAACCCCTTCATTAAGGCCTAGAAAGGGAAATCTCTTGCCAGAGGTCATATAGCAAGTTAGTGGCTGAGATGGGACTAGAATCCAGTTTCTAATGGAATCCATCAGATTCTCCTCCTCCTTATCAGCATTTATGATACCCACACCTGCAGATGTTGTCATGGCCATCTGCTACTTAAGCAGACATGGCCCTGACCTCAAAGGCAGATAGCATTGGAGCTGGCCCCGTGGCCGAGTGGTTAAGTTCGTGCACTCTGCTTCGGCAGCCCAGGGTTTCCCAGATTCAGATCCTGGGCGCGGACATGGCATCGCTCATCAAGCCGTGCTGAGGCGGCGTCCCACATAGCACAACCAGAAGGACCATAACTACAATATACAACCACGTAGTGGGGGGCTCTGCAGAGAAGAAGAAGAAGAAGAAAGAGAAGAAGGAGAAGAAGAGGCCAAAGAAGAGATTGCCAACAGATGTTAGCTCAGGTACCAATCTTTTAAAAAAAAGACAGATAGCATTACATGGACAAAGTCCACATTGAATACATTAATTTCATTTAAAAACTTTATGTTGTACAAGACGTATATGAAGAAAACTACAAAACTCTAATGAAAGATATTAAAGAAGAATTAAGTAAATGGAGAGATACTCTTATGTTTATGGATAGGAAGACTCAATATTGTCAAGATGTCACTTCTTCCCAACTTGATCTATAGATTCAGTTCAATCCCAATCAAAATCCTACTGTGTTATTTTGTGGATATTAACAAACTAATTGTTTGTATGGAGAGGCACAAGACCCAGAATAGCAACTCTATATTGAAGGAGAATGTCGTCAGAGGGCTGACACTGCCCAACTTCAAGACTTCTTATAAAATTACAGTAATCAAGACAGTGTAGTATTGGTGGAAGAATAGACAAGTAGATCAATGGAACAGAATGGAGAGCTCAGAAATAGACCCCACATAAAAATAGTCAACTGATACTTGACCAAGGAGCAAAGGCAATGCAATAGAGCAAAGATAGTCTTTTCAACAAATGGTGCTGGAACAACTGGACAGTCACGTGCAAAAAAATAAATCTAGACACAGACCATACACCTTTCACAAATGTTAACTCAAAATGGATGATAGACCTAAATGGAAAACGCAAAACTATAAAACTCCTAGAAGGGGCTGGCCCCATGGCCAGGTAGTCAAGTTCACATGCTCTGCTTTGGTGGCCCAGGGTTTTACCAGTTTGGATCCTGGATGCGGACAGGGCACGGCTCATCAAGCCATGCTGAGGCGGCGTCCCACATAGCACAACCAGAGGCACTCACAACTAGAATATACAATTATGTACTGGGGGGCTTTGGGGAGAAGAAGAAGAAGGAAAAAAAAGAAGATTGGCAACAGATGTTAGCTCAGGTGCCAATCCCTAAAAACAAAACAAAACAAAAAAACAAAAACTCCTAGGGGCCGGCCCTGTGGCCGAGTGGTTAAGTTTGCGTACTCTGCTGTGGTGGCCCAGAGTTTCGCCGGTTCTGATCCTGGGCGCGGACATGGCACCACTCATCAGGCCACGTTGAGGCGGTGTCCCACATGCCACAACTAGAAAGACCTGCAACTAAGATATACAACTATGTACTGGGAGGATTTGGGGAGAAAAAGTAGAAAGAAAAAAAGATTGGCAGCGGTTGTTAGCTCAGGTGCCAATCTTTAAAAACGAAAACAAAAACAAAAAACTCCTAGAGGATAACATAGGAGAAAATCTAGATGACCTTGGGTTTGGCAATGACTTTGTATTTTTATTTTTTTGGGGAAGATTAACCCTGAGCTAACTGCTGCCAATCCTCCTCTTTTTGCTGAGGAAGACTGGCCATGAGCTAACATCCGTGCCCATCTTCCTTTACTTTATATGTGGGACGCCTACCACAGCATGGCTTGCCAAAAAAAAAAAAAAAAGCTGCTCCACATCATATGTCACCAAGGAAATGCAAATTAAAAAAACATTGAGATACCACTTCACACCTATTAGAATGGCCAAAATCTGGAACACTGACAACACAAAGTGCTGGTGAGAATGTGGAGCAACAGGAACTTTCGTCGCTGATGGGAATGCAAAATGGTACAGCCACTTTGGAAGACAGATTAGCGGTTTCTCACAAAACTAATAATCTTACCATAGGACCAGCAGTTGTGCTCCTTGGTATTTACTCAAAGGAGCTGAACACTTATGTCCACACAAAAGCCTGCACGTGGATGTTTAGAGGAGCTTTATTCATAACTGCCAACACTTGGAAGCAAGCAAGAAGTCCTTCAGGAGGTGAATGGATAAGTAAACTGTGGTACATCCAGACAATGGAATATTATTCAGTGCTAAAAAAAAAATGAGCTATTAAGCCATGAAAAGACATGGAGGAAACTTAAATGCATATTACTAAGTGAAAGAAGGCAATCTGAAAAGATTACATACTGTATGATTCCACCTATATGACATTCTGGAAAAGACAAAACTATGGAGACAGTAAAAGGATCAGTGGTTGCCAGGGGCTAGAGTGGGGGTGAGGTGAATAGACACAGCACAGGATTTTTAGGGCAGGGAAACTTCTCTGTATGATCCTATAATGGTGCATACATGTCATACATTTGTCCACACCCATAGAACGTACAACACCAAGAGTGAACTCTAATGCAAACTGTGGACTTTAGGTGACAATAATGTGTCAACGTAGGTTTATCAATTGTGACCAATGTCCCACTCTGATGGGCGATGTTGATAATGCAGGAGGTGGTGCATGTATGGGGACAGGGTGTATGGGAAATCTCTGTACCTTCTGCTCAGTTTTGCTGTGAACCTAAAACCGCTCTAAAAAGTAAAGTCTGATAAAAAAATTTTGTAAATCCTTTTATGCTTCATAAACATGATGATTGGGTGTTCGTGCTATTGTGTGAGATGCGCCTCCCTCAAACCTTGTTACGACCTTGGCACATTACCTGTCTGACGTGAAAAAAATTTTGTATCTAGAAGTCAATAAACAAGTTTGTGTATTCTCCATTAGTAGCATTATCCACTTAGTGAAGTGAAAAGAGGGCTTTGCAAAGTACGTAACTCTCTAATCAAAAATACTTTAACAAGCATCTATCTATTGAAAGACACGGGACAATACAAGAGAAACATAAGACATCGTCCCTGCGGAGCTGAAAGTCTGGTTCTTTGCCCTGAACTGTGATAAATCATCTTGCAAATGGACTTTAAAACCCCACCACTCTGTTCCATCTCTGTATCTGTAGTTCAGAGGCCAAGAAAAAGTGTCCACTGTTAATGGCATGTTCTCCAGCAGATACGTAACATCTTATTTGCCTTAAATGAGAGAAGGAATGTAAAAAAACCCTCTGTAAACTATAAAGTGCTTTACAAAGACAGATTATTAAAGTTGCTTTGTGGGATGAACGACTTAGTTCCTGCCTGTTGAAAGTATATAGTGGAACAAAAAGATGGTTTAGAATCTGAGCAAGGATTAGAAAGGAACCCCTGGGGATTTTCACTTCCTATGACGAGCATTTCACAAGTTTCAGATTTAAGGAGCCAGATGGGGGCCTTAGAACCCAGTGGAGAATTATTAATATTTAAAAATATTTAAAATGTTTTTGGAACATGGGACCCAAGAAGACAGACTAGAGGAATTAGAACGGTTAAGCCCAAAGAAGATAACGTATCTATTTATTGAGAAGATAAAGCTAAAGGGTGCCTTGTGTTGAAATAGGTCAAGGGAATCTCTGAAAAGATGGTTCTGCTGCCACTGCCTACGGGAATTTATCTGGGGCTCTCGGAATAAGCCCAGATTCCTCTCAGTTCTCTCCGGTACTTCTCCGCAGTGTCCTCTGTGTAAGAACGTACTCAGTCAACCGTCCAGAACTTCTCAAGTTCTAAGAGTCAGGCTTTGGAAGGCGGGTAGGAGGTAGGGGTGGGGCAGGGGGTGAGGTCAGCTAGCTTTCTCCTGAGGGTCTTTTTACTCATGGGTCCCTGTGTGGTCTCAGAAAGTGTTAACAGTTGCTCCCCTGGCTAAGGATTCTTCAGGAGAGTTTACTCAGGAGGCACCTGGTTCCCCGTCACTAAGGACACCTGGCCCTCCAGGAAGCTGTAACACTGGTGGTTATTCTCTCCTTTGGGTGGCAAATGGAAACCTAGCAGCCCTTTTTCAAGCAGGTCCTAGTGATTAGTCCAGAGAGATTCCCCTGGGACTTCAGCAGGTGGCTAGTGATTATTTAACAACCTCCCAGGGTTTCATTTAAGGAGAGGCATGGGTGTGGGGAGCCTGGTGGAGAGGACAGAGAGAAAGATGGTTTTGGCACAAGGGACCCAGGAAAAAAAGGCGAAATGGCTTGGAACAATGCCTAGTAAGCGCTGTGTGTTTGCGGAAGAAGGGGGCAGAATGCGTGTTTAAATAGGGTGGTCAGGGTAAATCTGACTGAGAGGGCGAGATTTGAGTAAAGACTTGAAGAAGGTGAGGGAATTTTCCCAGTGGGTCTCTGCGGAAGGAACAGTCTAGGCAGGAGCATAGACTACAGCATAGGCGGCGTCTGGGGTTGGTGAGAGACTGGGAAGGCAGCTTCCGGCTCCTGTGAGGCCTGTGAGGTCTTGGGCTTTGGCTCTCAGTGAAATGTGGGCCACCACTGTTTAGCCCAGGAACGAGATCTGACTTATACTCTGCTGTTGGGAATAGCCTGGGGGCGTTGAGGGGCAAGGGGTGAAGCAGGAAGATCTGGTAGGAGGCCTGGCAAAATTGGGCAGGAGGTCAGGAGGTCAGGAGGCCAGAGTAATCATGGAGGTGGTGGGAGAGTGTGAGTCTGGAAATTCTGTGAAGTAGAGCTGGCCTTAACTCCTGAGTATTGGCTTGAGCACTTGGATACATGTGGTTGCTGTCAAGTGGCTGTGAGAAATAAAGGATTGTCTTGAAGTTGGAAGTTCTTTGATTCATTCAGAGTATTTACTGAGCACCCACTGTGTGTTAGGCATATATTGACGAGGAAGACACATGCCACAACTAGAAGGACCCACAGCTAAAATATACAACTAATCTCTAGTTGGCATTATTTGTTCACACGTCTGCTGTCTGATTCTACTGACTAGAATGATTGCTCCGCGTGGGTAATGGTCTTAGCTTGTTTTTCAGATTTAGCCATGTTCGTGCATTTATCAGCAGTTCATTCATTTTTATTGTTGTGTAGTGGCCTGTTGTACCAATTTGTTTATCTGTTCACCTGTTGAGGGACAATTGAATTGTTTCCAGGTTTTATGGCTGCTATGGTTTCCAGGTTTTATGGCTCCAGGTTTCCAGGCTACTATGAATAAGGCTGCTATGAACATTCTTTTTGTGGACAAATATTTCATTTTTTTGAATAAATACCAGAAGTAGAATTGCTGGGTCATAGAGAAATTATGTGATTAGTTTTTTAAGAAATAGTCAAACTTTTTTCTGAGATGGTTTTATTTTATTTATTTTATTATTATTATTATTATTATTATTATTATTATTTTTATTGCTTTTTCTCCCCCATTCCCCCCGGTACATAGTTGTATGTTTTAGTTGTGGGTCCTTCTAGTTGTGGCATGTGGGACGCCGCCTCAACATCGCCTGATGAGTGGTGCCATGTCCGCGCCCAGGATCTGAACTGGCGAAACCCTGGGCCACCTCACGGAAGTGGAGTGTGGGAACTCAACCACTCAGCCACGGAGCTGGCCCCATAAGATGGTTTTATTCTTTTTTCTCTGCCAGCTTTGTAGGGGAGTTTCAGTTGCTTTATGCCCTTGCTAACATTTGGTATTGTCAGTCTTTTCATTTTAACCTTTCTAGTGGATGTGAACTGGTGTCTCATTGTGGCATTTTAAAAGTAAACTTTATTGAGGTATAATTTACATATAATAAAATTTATCCATTTAAAATCTACAGTTCGGCACAACTAGAAGGACCTACAACTAGAATATACGACTATGTACTGGGGGGCTTTGGGGAGAAGCAGCAGATGAAAAAAGAAAAAGAAAAAAAAATCTATAATTCTGTGGGTTTTGACACATGTATACAGTTGTGTAACCACCACCGGAATCATTTCCATCACCCCAGAAAGCTCCTCTGTGCCTCTTGCCTGTTGACAAAATAAAACAGCCAGTTATTTTACCAGCAAAATGGTTTCTTTGGGAATAGCAAAGGAATTGCAACTGGGGACAAGCCAGCTGTAGCAAAAGCCATAAGCAAGTCCAGCAAGCAAAGGAGAAGAAAGCTATTTTATAGAGAAAAAGGAGGAAATGGGGAGTTGTTTTGAACAAAAGTCCATCGATGGAAAGTGATAGTTCAGGACGGTGACGGTTTCTCATCGGCTGAGGTGCTGCAGGAATGGGTTTCTTGTGGGGGATGCAATGTACATCTCTTCCTGTAATTGACATTCTTGGTGGACTTCTTTTGTTGTCGGTAATTGACAATCCTTCCTGTAATTGACCTGGAGCGGTAGTGCTCTGAGGGCTCCCCCTTCTTGCCTCCCAGCTCCATTTTAAGTGAGGTTTCCCTTTATTAATTTTCACATGCCCTTCTCCAGCCATTTCCCCCGGAAACCACTGATCCTCTTTCTGTTACTACAGCATGGTCTTTTCTAGAATTTCATACAGTATTTGGTCTTTTGCATCTGGCTTCTTTCACTTAGCATAACGCTTGTGAGATTCACATGTGTGTTGTTTATCAGTAGTTTGTTCCTCATGATTGCACTGTACGGAGAGATCGCAAATAGGTTATGCGTTCATCATTTGTCAGGCTGTTTCTGTGGCTTGGCTATTGTGAATACAGCTGTCAACATTCATATGAAGGTCTTTGTGTGGGCAAGGTTTTTCTTTTTCTTGAGTAAATATCTAGAAGAGGGATTGCTGCGTGGTATAGTAAGTGTATTTTAGCTTTTTTAAGAAACTGCCACAGTGGTTCTACCGTTTTACATTTCCACCAGCAGTGGGAGAGAGTTCCTCTTGCTCCATGTCCTTAACAGTACTTGGTCTTGTCAGTCTTTTTGATGTTGACCAATCTAATGGGCATGTGGTAGAAGCTCATAGGGGTTTTAATTTGCATTTTCACAATTACAAACGATATGGAGTATCTTTTAATGTGCTTATTGGCCATTTATATACCTTCATTTGTGAAGTGTCCAGGTCTTTTGCCCATTTTTATAAATTGGGTTGTTGTCTTTTTTTAAATTGAATTGTAAGAGTTTTTCTTTTAACATAATCTGAATATAAGTCCTTTGCCATAATATGTATTATGAATATTTTCTCCCAATCCAAGACTTGCCTCTTCCTTTTTTTCTTTTACTTTTTCTTTTTTGTTGAGGAAGATTCGCCCTGAGCTAACATCTGCTGCCAGTCTTCTTCTTTTTGTATGTGAGCCACCACCACAGCATGGCCAGTGACAATTGAGTGCTGTAGGTTCACACCTGGGAACTGAACCTGGGCCCTCTGAGGCAGAGTGCACTGAACTTAACCACCAGGCAAGCAGGGCTGGCTCTTCATTTTTTTTTGATGAGCCAAAAATTTTGATTTTGAAGTCCAGTTTATCAAGTTTTTCTTTTATCGTTAGTGCTTTTTGTGTTCTAAGAAAATTTTCCCTATCTTAAGATTGTAAAGATATTCTCCTTTGTTTTCTTCTAGAAATTGTATAGTTTTAGATTTTTACATTGTTTTATAATCCATCTCTAAATAATTTTTATATTTGGTGTAAGACAGGGGTCAAGGTTAATTCTTTACCGTGTAGATATCCAGTTGTTCCAACACTATATGTTGGAAAGAATGTTCTTTCACCATTGAATTATTTCGGTGCTTTTGTTGAAAATCAATTGATCGTAAATATGAGTCAATTTTTGATGTCTCTCGTCTTTTCTATTGATTTGTTTGACTTTACACTGATAGCACATCGTCTTGAATATTGACCCTGTATCCTGTGACTTTGCTAAATTCACTTATTTTACTAG